TACCTATAATTAAATAAATTTCCTTTTCGCCCCAAAATAACTACAGCTTTATATTAAACATATTTGATTTTTACCTAAATAAATTGGGATTTTAAAAATGTATTTGGGCTAAAGCTTTGTACTAAATAAACTTTCTGCAACAATGAATGAGGGATCTTCAATTTGCAGTGGTGGTACCCAATATAATAAAGAGAAAATATATTCCAGAAATGTATTATGGTATAATCAATTTCAGTTGAGATAGTATTTTTGAATAAACAAAGTTTGTGAACATAACAAGTAGAGCTCTTCAATTGCAGTTGTGATAGAGGGATTTTATTAAACACTCGTTTCTTTAATACTCAAACGAATCTTCAGTTGCAGATGGTAGATACCATTGTAGATTTCTTTGTGTCCAAAATAATTAGGCTTGTAAAATTGCAGTGGATACAATGTTTTTCTTTATTAAATTTGCTTTCTTTTTTTTTCTCTAAAAGAATTAGGAATATTTAATTGCAGTTGGTATAGTTTAAGATGAAATATATTTACCCAAAGGTATTAATAAGCATTCAGTCGCTATTATGATAGAATTAAGCACTTAACAAACAGTTTTTGTGCCCGTAAAATTTAGGGATCTTCAAATACTGATTTGTATTAAACGCACTTACTTTGTACCCAAAAGTAGTTTTTCAATTTCAGTTGATATACAACTTTGTATTAAGAGCACTTTCTTTTAGCCACAATGAATGAGGTATGTTCAATTGCAGTTGAGTTATCTCCTCTTGTCTGAAACAGATTGTTTGTAACTAAAAGAATTATTCAGTTGACCAAAAAGTTCATTAGGTTTATTAAGTAAATCTTCTATTTAATAAGCGAACGGACTCTCAATAGTTGTTCAATTATAATTCAAATACCGCGTTTTATAAAACACTTTCTTTGTGTTTGAATGAATAGAGATTATGCAGTTGCAGTTTAGTTGCTACTTTGTTTTATAGCTCTCTCTTTGTCCAAATAATTATTGTTTTTCAGTTTCAGATGCGTTCATAAATTCTTATATTTAAAACATTAGGGTAGCTCAACTGAATTTTGGATAACCCTTTGTACAAAACACAATTCCTTTGTGCCCCACAAAATCAGGATGAACTAATTATAGTTAAGTTGCACGCGTCCTTTTTGCCAGGATTTTTTTGATTTCTAAATTACCGTTTAGATAACTCTTTCTCTTCCACGTTTTTTTTTCTGACTAAAAGACGCAGGTTTTTATTTTAATTACATGTTAGAAACCTCGCTATATTATTATTTATTGTGCCATAAAAATTATCTTTGATCCGTTGTTGTTAAGAGAAAACATTTTATTCTACAACATCATTGTGTCCAAGTAAATTCGGGTTGCTAAATTTCCAGTTCAGTTGACGCCTTCTGTTAAAGAAACTTTCTTTGTATGAAAAGATTTGTTCAGTTGCTTTTTAAATACATTTTGTATTTAACACACATTCTTGAACTAATTTTGTCTAATTGCAATTGTTTATAACTTTCTTTTAAACATTGTATTCTAAAGAAGAATTGTTGTTCAATATAATTTGAGACAAAACCTAAAGGTACTTCCTTTGTACCGCTAAGATTATGGTTGTTTATTTGCAGTTGTGATATCATTTTGTAATAAACTAATTTTTGTGTTCTAATAAAGTAAGGTTGTTCAGTTGCAGTTGATGGACAAAACTGTTTTAAACGCACATTCTTTGGGCCGAAAACAATTACTTTTTCAATTGCACTTGACATACTACGCAAGTTCTTAGTCCACCAGAAAGTTAGCATCGTAGACAAAAAAATTGACTCTTTAATAGAATTAGCGTTAATCAATGATAGGTGAGTTGGCGTTTTATTTTGAGCACACTTTGCTGTTTACTTCCTCCGTGCACAAAATATAGTTGCAGTTGAGATATAGCTTTGTCTTTAATGAACTTCATAGGTTTCAAAGAATCAGGATTATTCTGTCGAAGTTGCGATAGCGTTTTATTTGAAACCAACATTCTTAGTGCCCAAAAGAATGTTATGTTGCCTCAGAGATAACGATTTATTTTAAACACCCATACTCGTTGCTCAAAAATTAGGTTTCTTCTCTTGCAGTCAGCCTCTGCTATGCTGTAAAGACACCTTCGTACACAAAAGAATTAGAATTCTCCCTTTACTTTTGAGATACAGCTTTCCCTTAACTTAATTTGGTGCTCAAATGAATTAAGTTTTTTTTTCTGTAGTCGAGATAATTCATTGTCGTAGTTGGTACTAAAAATAATTGTTATGTTGCTGTTGAGATATAGCTTTGCGTTAAGCACACATTACTGGTGCCCTAAAGGGTTATTCCGTTGTCGTGGAGATACTGCTTTGCCTTAAATACAGATTTCTGGTGCCCCGGATTATTCCGTTGTCGTTGAAATAGCGCTTTGTCTTAAGCACACATTCTTAGGTTTGTTTTGAAGCATTTGAAAAACTGCTTTGTCTTAAACATATTTTCCTGGGTCCCAAATAATTAGGGATGCACTGTTGCAGCTGAAATCCGGCATTGTCTTTTACTCACTTCATGGTGCGTAAAAGAATTGGGAATGTTCTGTTGCCGTTGACGTACTGTTTTGTCTTAAACTCATTTAATTGCTGCCTAAAATGTTTGGGATATTTCTGGGCCCATTGAAATACTACAATTTCTTTTACGCACTTTTTTTTTGTTATTATATGTTAGTTAAGATATCACTTTCTCTTTAATAATCTTTCTTCATGCCCAAAAGGATATTCTGTGACATTCGAGATATTACTTCGGCTTAAACATATTTTCTTGGTGTCCAAAGAATTAGTGTTGTTCTGCTGATACATATTTTTGATACGGATCTGTTGAAACCATTTTCCTGGTGTCCAAAAGAATTTGGATTGTTCTGTTGCGTATGAGATAGAGATTTGTTATAAACGCAGATTCTTGTTGCCCCCCCCCCAATTACTGTGGTTCAATTGATGCTAGATACTGTCTTGTTTTAAACACACTTTCTTCAACAGCAAAGATGAATAATTTTCTGTGATCGTTGTGATACAATTTTCTTTTAATTATAGCTTTATGGTGCGCATAACAAAATGGTTTCTACGCAAAAAAATTGTTTGTTCTGTTTTACTTGAGATCCTGCATTGTGTTGAATACATTCTTTGTACTCAAAGTTATTCTTTTACAGATGGATACTGATTTAACTTAATCACACATTTCCTTAGTATTCAGAGGGATTAGGGATATTCCGCTGCAGTTGAAATACCGCTTTTTTAGCATGCTTCATAGAATTCAAGGAACTTAGGATTGTCCTTTGATCGTTGGGAAACTGTTTTCTCTTAAACACATTTTCTTTGTATCCAGAATTATTAGAAATGTTCTATTGTTCTTGAGATATCGTTTACTCTTAAACACATTTTCTTGATTCCCAAACGAAATTGGAATCCTATACCGCTTTAACACATTTTCTTGGTATCTAAAAAAATTTGAATTTGTGATCCCTGTTATTTATCATTTATAACAGTATACATCTCTTCATTCGAGTGGGGACTGAAATGTTTTAAGCCCGAACTATTTTTTAAAATCTGTCTAAACGTCATAATTTTACTAAGCTGTGAACTTTTAGCATTTTCTCATTTTTGATTTTTTAGTGTTGGATATTAAGCAAGATTCATAATCAAGTTTATTTTAATGCACAATGAGGTATAACTTTTAACTATTAGCAATTATTTACCTTTATTTTATGAAGTAATTTAGACGTGCATTATTCAAAGATTATTTTCGAATCGATTAATTTCTTATATCGGTGTGTAACTTTTGGGGATTATCCATTTAAATTACCATTGCACGCCCGCACAACGTATGTGCCTATTTATATGTGCAAGTAAATGCAACAAATTATTAGTAGGGAGACAATCAAAGAAACTTGATCAGAGAGAGATTTATCGAGTAATAACATTCAGCACTTACTTATCATTCATTCATATAACCTTTTCCGCTTCTTGTCATCTCCTTTAATATCAGTTCTATCAGCAGCGAAGTTTCTTTTATATCATTTGCCTTGAAACAATCACTAGTGTAAATATGAAGAAAACGTAAAAGTTTCATTTTATCTTAGCTTATTAATCGCAACCACACTAAAATTACATCGTAAATTATTATCTCAATGGCGAATTCACTTCGGTCTACTGCTACTTATTGAAACTCGAGAGCTAGTACTACCGCCACCTTCTTCTCAACTAAGGTCACTCTAAATAACTCTTATCACATTGCTGCAAATACGTGTGTCCTGATACACTAAACATTTAACTGAAGCAACAACTGCTGCTGATGCGAAAACCAATCAGGTGGTTGTTTTGTCGTTAAAAAGTGTACAGTTGGTTGTCCTTTAGGAAAGAAATCAGAAATTCTAGGCAATAGAAGGTGACGGTCTGCACTGTG